GAAACTGCGGGGAACCATGCAAAAAACGCATCTTGCGTTGGCCAATTATTAGTGAACTGGAAATTTGCATTTTTTCAAAAAATTTACATTTGTCATTTTTTTACAAAGCGAGTATTTACCGAAAAAAACGACTGGGTCTCATGCAAAAAACCGGAATCATGCACCTGGATGTCCGTGCGGCTCTATAATGCACCACCTTCATCCCAACTGATGCCCTTCCTCCGCATGCCAGAAAGGATCAAAGCATGACCAGTATTAACCCAAGTGTTATAATACAGCCTAGGGATCATTCCTGCTAATAGCGAGCTGCGAGTTTAGTGCAGAAACGCATTATCGTACCGGGGAGCCTGGTGCGTTCCAGTCTGAGTGCTTTTTTTTTCTTTTTATTCACAAGTTCCGATTTTTGATTTCACCGTTCTTTTCGCTTTTATTTATAGGCTAAGGTTTGCTTTAACTTACTTTTCTTTGTAGTGCTGTGTTGCCTCTCCGTGCTTACTGCTGTCTCCAGTTCTTGCCTTAAACCCCTGTCTAGTACCCTTGTTCTCCTCTTTTATCCTGTCCCCGATTGCCGCTTCAAGAGCGTCCATCTGAGCAGTTACTAACCACTACCTTGTCATCCACAGTGCACCCTCCTATTCACCACCCCTCCCTTCCCAACCCCGTCGTCGTTCAGCTACCGAGCGCTAGGCATCGCTACCCAGCGATCGCCGGCAAAACATCAAACGGTGCCGGCAGGCGGCGCTCTGGAACGGCTTTAGCTGACAAGCTAGGGCGTCTCTCTCAGTGATGGCCGGTGCGAATTTTGGTAATTGCTTTGGGGCACTGTTCATCACAGGCCGACCTTTGTGCAGGTGGGCCTGGGGACACGTTGCATGTTGCTTGTGCGCCTCGTTGTCTGTGTCTCTCTCGAGGATTACACTGGCTCCTGGCTCCCCTCACTCATCTCGTCCCCGAGTTCCGCTCAGATGGTGCCGCCTTGTCGCGGGAGGGGAACGGTGTGCCTGCGCGCGCTGATATTGCTCCGGCAAGCTGGCACTGCGCCGGTGCCACTGCCTCTGCTTTGCTCCGTTTCGTGTTTTCGCTTGAACGGAGCACTGCCTGCTCTGTCTCGGCACATCGAATTGCTGCAGGCTGCGTGAGGAGGCATGGAACTGCTGGGTTTCGCGGCGCTGCACAGTGATGCGGACGTGGTTTCGCCGTCGTGCGCCTCGTTCGACAGCTTCTGGATTGTGGATGCACCGGTGCAGTTCGGCTTGAAGTAAGTGTGACGTGCGCTGCTGCCCATTGCTGTTGTTGCTTCGCAGTCGCCTAAGACTGGCCAGGAGGCTGATGCTGCTGCTGCTGCCGCCACAGATTCTCAAAATTTTTCAGATCTTTTTTATGCGTTTTGTGCTGTGTAACAGCAGTACAAAATGCATATTGTTACGGGGTTGTCTGTGTGTGTGCCCGCAGAAACTTGTCCGCAACATTCAACTCGGGAACCACAAAAGCTAGGACGCTGAAAATTTAGGG